ATCATAAAAGAGATTGTGGGTGTTAGTGAAGGCGATCTATATGCAATTTAGCAAACTTGAGTATTAGTGCTGTTAGCATAAATTACGAATGCCCTACAGAAGACGATACGTCAGGAAAAGAGATTAGATAGATGGTATAGTAATCTTTTCTGCAAGAATGATGCTCAAACTTTACCCGTTCCAGGTCAAAACAGCAAATCATTGAGTTTTTGCCAATGAGTTTGCATTATGAATTGATTCACCGAGAACATTTCAGAATAAGTAAATATTTGACGATTATTACAATAAAGTTGGCTTTCTCGATTACTCTTCCTCACGAAAGAACAAAAAATCACAACTTCTGCTACTGTAAATTTGAGAGAAAACTTCACTCAAACAATGTAAGTACTTCAACTATAAGTTATGATTTAACTAGCGAGAGCCCGTGCATACTGCACGGCTGCTTTTTTTCCTGTGAAGTTACACTTCTGTCCTTTAGCTTTGATTGGGTAATAGACAAAAACTCGGTTCGCATTATCTATATATATAGATCGTATAGCCTGATACCCTTGTAGAGTCATACTCTTGTTGTAGTACTCCTTATCGCCTAATTCCGTTATTTCCTTATCCCTTATATCCTTTCCAGCCTTATCCATTTATACCATATACCCTTATCCCCTCATACTCTTTTAACTCTATCCCTTATGCCCATGTAGCCTTAGCCTCTTATCCCCTTTACCCTTATATCCTTATTTGCTTATTCCCTACTCCGTTATAACCTTGTGGCCCTTGAGGACCTATGGGTACCATAATACAATAGCCCTTGAGGACCCAGAGATACCCCCATAGGATAGCCCTTGAGGACCTATGGGTATCGCCATATATTGGCTCTAGAGGACCTGTGCGTACTTTCATATAGTAGCCCTTGAGGACCCATGAGTGCCCGCATATATCACAGCCCTTACAGCCTTCCCANCTTACGCAACCGTAGAACCCTTCGCGAATGTTCCAGAAAGTTCTAGAACATTCTGGAAACTTATAGAAGTACACAACATTTTCGAACGTTCTAGAAAATTCTAGAATTCTTCACCTTTCAACTTTGACCTTTGACCTGGCACAGAGAAACACACACTGAACATTATATATATAGATAGATAATCGGCGAATATGATTTTACCGCGATATTGATCAGTGTAGCTTATTTTTGAAAATAATCGATTCATAATCGAGATAAAATTGATAAAAGCTTAATTTTAATCAGATTGTATTGCATTTTATTTTATTTTTGTATTGTTCTTTGGAATAGAATATTCATATATAAGAGAAAATAAATAAAACTTATTTACGAGTATATTTCCTTCGAGATAAACTTTTGAAAACGAACTATTTAATAGTAAATCATTGAGAAATTTAAAAGTAATTCATTTTTTTTTAAGATCATAAAGGTTGTAGATGAAAAGATTATAATCGGCTTGAAACAATAATTTTATTCGGATTATAATCAAGATAATAGAAATGAGAAAATCAATCTAAATTACATTCTGCTTTTTCCTAATTTTCTCGAATTAGTAATTGTTCTGTAAAGAATTGTCAATTGATTTAATCGAATGTAGTTTATTAAATTGCCAAAAAGAATTCAAACTATTAATCGATGATTAATACTATTTAGATTTATTTTGGTATAAAATACACTCTTTATGTAATTACATCATTGTATATAAAGAGATGTGTGACAATTTTTATTAAGCAATAACACTTGTTTTCTTTCCTGATGATGAAAGACGCATGACGATTTATGAGTCACTCAGATTGTATATACTGACATTACAATACCACGTTTTATTAAATGACAATTATTCATCGAGTCGACAAAAAAAATTAAAAAAATAAGGTAATGTAACTACTCAAACCAATATTATAATAGTAAGATGTAACGACCGTTATACGCCATACTATAAGATTTTTAAGCAAATCAAAATAAGAATTATAAAGAGTGTTCCGGAAGTTCTGAAACGATTTTAAAATTAACCGTTTTCGTATTCTACAAAAGAAAATTCGTTGAAACTTTGGTAGATTGTTGTACATATATAGTACTACATAATTACAAAGTTTGATATCAATAGGTTATACTATGGATGAGAAACTGTAACAACACTGACAAGTACTATTTTAAAAATTTTTCTGGTCACCTTCGGGGTATGCAACGTTTTTTTATTTCGTCTATATCTTAGCTTAGGTAAATGATAAAATCTTGAATTTTTCTTTAAAAGATGCGCCGAGAAAAGCTCTACAAAAACTGCAATAACAAATCCCTATTGACTTGTATTAATGGTTTCTGCAATACTCAAAATGAAAAACCCACATGGTAGTACTATATTCTCACCATATTGTGCGTAATAAAAAACCCTTACAGGTTCTCCTCTATAGTACAACCTATTGACCCCAAACTTTGTACTTATGTGGCACTACATATGTGCAATAATATGCCAAAGTTTCAAAGAGTTTGCATTTGTTGAATGCGAGAACGATGAATTTTAAAATCGTTTCAGAACTTCCGGAACACCCTTTATATACGAAAGAATTGATTGTACTGTAAAAAATGAAACAATTTCAGGTTTCATATAAACCATTTTCTATTATATTTTTATTCAAAGAATCGAGAGAAATATGAAGTGAAAAATATTAATGAAAATGTGATCATTGAATGTTATATGGAAAGAACAATGATAATCTTGAGATGAAAACAAAAAGAAAAGAATAATCATTTCTATTTCAACTAAATCTTGATCACCAATTGCAACGAAAACTCAGAATTCTTTCTGAGAAAGCTTGCATTCATCTATATTTATGATAGAATGTTATTCGTATAGAAGAAGTTTTTCAACGAAAAGTAAAGATAAATCTAAACATATTCATTTGTAAGTACAGATCAGACTTTGATGATGAGATTATTCTGTGAGATAATATCAAATATTTCGTTTTTCTAGATAAAATCTGATTTCTGATTAATTAATATGTCATCATCTAAAATAATTGATATTATAAAACCTATTGATTATGATGAAAATCCTGAAAGATATAAATCAATAAGTGTAGTTATTGTATCAGATACTCATAAAAATCATGAAGTGATTAATATTCCAGATGGTGATATTTTTCTACATTGTGGAGATTTTACAAATAAAGGTGATTGGCGAAGTTTAACAAATGATCAAATTCCACAATCTATAATTGATTTTAATCAATGGTTGGGAAGATTAAAACATAAACATAAAATTGTTATTTGTGGAAACCATGAAATTGGTTTTCAAAAATACTCAAAAGAAGAAATTCAATCCAATTTATTAACTAATTGTATATATTTAAAAGATGAATTAATTCAAGTCGAAGGTATAACAATTTACGGTTCTCCATGGCCATTTAATGAACATTATCGAACAAAATGGTTATCGATTCCTTCAAATATTGATATATTAATGACACATATTCCTCCAAAATTTATATTAGATTTAGCATTTCAACCAAAAAAAGTAGCTTCAACAGAACCTTGTTCAATGTGTAATGATACAGTTCATGGTTCCTATGGACATTGGGGTTCAAAAAGTTTAATAAAAGAAATTCGTGAAAGAATTCAACCTCGAATTCATTGTTTTGGACATGTTCATGATGACAATGGTTATAAATATGATCAACATGAAAGTGAAACACTATTTATTAATGCAGCAACAGATTTAACAGGACAAGTTTTTAAATTGAACTTTTATCTTGATTTACAAAAACATTCAAATATATTTTAAATTTATTCTTAATAAAAATAAAAAATTTTCTCTATTTATAATTGCACAATCGAATAAACCACAGTAAAAGTGAGCAGACAAAAAGTATTCTGATACATCGCGTTATTATTCGAGGATACGTTAACAAATCCATTCGATTCTAGCAACAAGTGTTTGAATCAAAGGTCAATTTAGTGCTTTAGAACTTACATTTACTGACAGAAGAACATTTTTAGATCACAACAATAGGATAGTCAATGTTGCAACAATTAATTGTCATATGTAAATGTTATTTCCATTTTTATGAGTATTACATACTCCTCTACATTTCAATTATATATCTTGTCAGATATTGTCTTAGTTATCATGATTACCAAGGACGAAGAATTCGAGACTTGGATATACATAGGATCCTGTTGGATTTAAATTTGAACATTAGACATGGTTTAACTCTTCCACTTTTCTTATCTTGTTATTCAACAATCAAGTGTAATAATAAGTAACGATAAAGTACTTTTCAAGCAGTTTATTTTCAACCGGTGGTACGTATCGAAATAATAAACACAAACAGATAATTATATTATTTTAAACTTATAATCATGTCAATGATAAATCTAAACAATATTAGAAGAAAAAAAAACAGAACTTAT